AAAGTCGGATCCAACTAATAGCGACCCCTCCTTGTGTTTCCGGGGCGGTAACGATGCTCCAGAAGTAGATTGCCCAACCTTCCTTCGAAGGAGTGGCTGGTAGGTTTGAACCACCAGCCTTCTGGTTAGCAGTCAAATGCCTTAGGCACTGCACCATTTACAATACATCGCAAAATGGAAGATGATAGCTAGAAGGGCCATATTAAGTAATTTACTACACTGCAACGTGTGTATCATTTACAAAAATTAAAGAAGTAGAATACTTGAACAAATCTTTACTCAAAGAAATTGATTTTGTAGGTAAGGTAACAGGAAAACTGGCCAGATTACATTATACCAAATGCTCAGGGAACATGTTACATAAAAGTATTTCAGAAAACCAAATAGACAATGTTCTCCAGCCTTTTCTGTCAAAACCAACTAAGGATTGGATGAGAGAAAAAAAAACCGTAAGCCAGTAGCATTTATAACTCAGAAGAAACCCTGACAATCTACTTCTGAAAAATCAGCCATTGAAAACCCTATGGAACACATTTCTGCTTTGGCACAAATGGATCTCCATGAACTGGAATGAACTTGATGATGACAGCTGGTAGTGTCTAGCATTCATACAATGCAAAGTTAAAAACTGAGCAGTTGTAAATGAAACATTGAAATGGTTTTTAGAAAACATGACCTAAGTGAATTTTATTTCAGAAATCCTTAGATAGTTTAAAATTAGAAAATCTAATAACATAATTTACCAGATTAACAGATTAGAAGAGAAAGTCCATTTATCTCAATATATACAGAAAAAATACTCAGCAAAACTTAAAACCTTTTTTTAAAAAAGTAACTCCAACATAGAAGGACACTTCTTCACAATAATGAAAATTATCTACTGAAAACCTATAACAAGTACCATAATTGATAGTGGAACTTTATTTATTTTTCTTCTTCTTTTTTTTTTTTTTAATTTTTTTGTAATTTGGTTGAAATTTTACAAAGCTGATTGATTTTATATCCAATAGCTCATATACATTTTGTTTCATGACACTGATTACAATCCCCACAATGTGAAAGCTCTCCTCCCACCACCTCCCTGAGATTACCCCTTCCCTATGTGTTCCTGCCTGCCTACCTTTCTACCTGTACAAGTGCTGACATTTTGATCTCCAAGTTGTCTGTTCTAAGGAGTTCATCTCTCTGGTGTAGTTGTTCAGCTCATATTGGCCTGTCTGTTGTTTGGCTGAGAGTTGAGCCATGGAAATGAGTCCAGATCCAGCCCTGAAGGGTAGCTAGGAACCATAGTCTTGGAATAGTGGAACTTTAGGAGCACTTCCTGTAAACTCAGGAATAAGATAGTAATGCCTACTTTCACTATCCATTGTTGCTAAGTAATCTTGGTGAGTACAACAAGATGAGAGAAGAAAAAAGTTAACCAGTTATAAAATTCAGTTCCTTTTCTGTTGTTGTTAAATGCTGTTGAGTCTGTACCAATAAATAGTGACCCTGTGTACAATAGGATAAACACTGCCCAGTCCTGCGCCATCCTCCTAATCCTTGCTGTGCTTGAGCCCATTGTTGCAACCACTGTCAGTCCATCTTGCTGAGGTTCTGTCACCACTCATCTGTCAGTTTATCATACTGTGGAGGCCTGTGTGTTGCTGTGAGACTGAAGGGTACGCCACCAGTATTTCAAATACCAGTCGGGTCACCCATGGTGGACAGGATTCAGTGGAGCTTGCAGACTAAGACAGACTGGGAAGAAGGATGAGGCTATCCACTTTCTTCTCTGTACTCCACCAAAAAGCATTGAGAAAATAAAACTTTAAAACACCATTTAACAAGAAGGACAAATCATAAGGTTTTTGTTAGGTGCCGTTGAGTTGGTTTCTGATGCATACAGACCCTGTATACAACAAAATGAAACATTGACTGGTCCTGCACCATCCTCACAATCATTGTTGTACTTGAGCCTATTGTTGGAACCACTGTGTCAATCCATCTTATTGAAGGTCTTCCCTTTTTTTGTTGACCCTCCACTTTACCAAACATCCTTTCCTTCTTCAGGGATTGGTCCTTTCTGATGACATGACCAAAGTGTGTGAGAGTCTGGCCATACTTGCTTCTAAGGAACATCCTACTGTACTTTTTCCAGGAAAAAATTGTTTCATGGTATTTTTAATATTCTTTGGCAACACCACAGTTCAAATGCATTACTTTTTCCATCTTCCTAATTTGTTGTCCAGCTTTCACATGCATATGAGGCAGTTGAAAATACCATGGCGTGAGTCAGGTGCACCTTAGTCTTCAAAGTGACATTTTTGCTCTTAAACACTTTACAGAGGTCTTTTGTAGCAAATTTGTCCACTGAAACATATCCAGTGTGGTGACTGTTGTGGTGTTTGAAAAATCAGTAGCATAGCTTTCAGCAACACATAAGCCACCACAATATGACAAATTGACAGGTGAGTGATAGAAATCATAAGGTACCTAGGAGTAAATATAAAAGTATGTACAAGACTTTTAGAGAGCAAATTATAAAACTATATTGAAAGACATTTTAAAAGAAATAGACCTAAAAAATTGGAGAGACATCATTTTTATGATATAAAGATTCAGTATCACAAAAACATTATTGTTAGGTGCTGTTGAGTTGTTCTGAGTCATAATGATCCCATGTTCAACAGAACAAAACACTACCTGGTTCTGTGCCATCCTCACAGTTGTTGCTGTGTTTGAGCTCATTGTTGCACCCACTGTGTCAGTCCAGCTCATTAAGGGTCTTTCTCTTACTCACCAACCTTCTCCTTTACCAAGCATAATAAAGTTTTGGTAGTTGGAAAGTATGAAGTTGTCACTAGGATATAAAACCAAAAAACTAAACTCGCTGCCATTAAGTCAGTTCCAACTGATAGCAACCCTTCCTTGGATTTCCAAGGTGATATCTCTACTGATTGCCTGTCTTCCTTCTGAGGGGTAGCTGACGAGTTCGAACTGCCAGCCTTCTGCTTAGCAGTCAGATGCCTTAGGCACTGCACCACCAGAGTTCCTAGGATATGCAAACTAATAAAACTAAATAAAGTACCCTGATACAAGAGTACACATGTATGTAGTACACATGTATGGAAATTTGGTATATAACAAAGATAGTATTTGAGATCAAGAAGCGAGACTACTGATAATTGACACTGTAAAAATATATTTATTTATCTATATTATTCATGTATATTGACTGTCAATGTTAGATCTCTATCTTAGACCTGATACAATATCAGTTTTTAATACTAAAGCAAAACTAAAACTTGCAGAATAAAATGCAGAATAATAGTTGTATGACAAGTTTACTAAAAATAAACAAAATACAAACTAGATAAAATTAATCTATCTTACTGCATTAAAATAAACTTCTTGACTTCCAGAACCAGCTAAGATGGAGTAAGCCCACTGTAGACTCTCTTTCCTACAAATGACAAGTAAAACCTCTGGACAAAATACAAAAAGCATGTACATGAGGAGTCTGAAAGTAAACATTAGCAAGTAGATTGAAGAGGGAAGTTAAAACTTGAATAATGACCCATAAAAGGGGTGAGATTCAGTTTTTTCCCTTTATTTTGTCTCCTGGTTTTAAGCTGAAGGCAGAATGATTCATGGAGCTGGACAGCAGGCAAAGACATTAGAAATTTTGAGAAAAAAGGTTGTAGTTAATATCAAGCAGGTTGTGAAAACTGAAGAGTGGGGTTGGGATCCCTGTCCTTTTTTTTTTTTCCCCCTCCCTTGGGTCTTACCCAAGGCTAGTACCAGTAATGAACCTGTGATAAAGCAGCTGCAGCAGCAACTAACATCCCAAGGAAAACCCCGTCCTCTTGCCAGAGGAACTAGGACCTAAATGAAGAAACAAATGAACTTAGCCCTGAGCTGCAGATGCATGGAACAGATCCAAAGAAATACGGCAAAGGCTTTGAGAACGAAATTATAATATAAATGACCACCCAGTACCTAGGAGCTGTGGTGGCCTAGTGCCTAAGGCACCTGACTGCTGAAAAAAAGGCTGGAGGTACAAAACCACCTGCCACTCTTCGGAAGGAAGATGGGGGCAATCTACTTCCTTAGTGATACTGCCTCAGAAACCCAAGGAGGGGTAGCTGTGAGTCGGGTCCGACTCGACGGCAAGTAACAACAACAACTTCATTATTATTTTAAAGATTCATGCTCACAGTCTTTCCCAGCCCACAATCTAAAGAAAATACAAGGAAATCTTAAATTAGAATGGGCCAAGTGTATTTTAAGAAATAACTTAGTGCATGTCTGATCACAGGCTGCCTATAAAATTTGAAGAAAAAGGATACAAAATACAGAAAGGATACTAATAGTGGTTGCTTTGATTCTACAGTTCAGCTCTTTCTGTTTGAAACTTTTGAATTGTTTGCTTATGAGGTGGAATCTTTAAACAGCTTAAATGTGCAATAAGGATAGTGGGTAATAAAATGATAGAACATCACGTGAATGACTGAAGAGTATGTGTGTAGGAAGAAACTATTTTTCATGTGTTACAAGGAAAGCAGGATGTATGCATTTTTGCATTTTATGATTAAATTTAGGTTTTAAAAAAGTAAACAAAATCTGAAACTTACCAGTTAGTCTCAATGATTGTTAGAATAATAGAGTTGTGATTCTTTTATTTTGCAAATTTGTTGATACCATGAAATTGCTTTTATAAAGAAGAAGACAGGTAAAACATAGTGCATCCCTCATGGAGCCAAGTTTTCTTTTCTTTATACACAAAACACAGACTTTACATTCCTTAATGCTTTGTTCCACCATTAAGACAACCAAAGAAACAGACCATCAGTCTTGGGCAATGCTGCTTAGATGTTTAGTATTCAGCATTTAATCTGTTGTATTTTTTTCTGTCAGTTCTCATTCCTCAGTCTACTATGATGACTGGATAAGAGAAATAGAAAAACTTAAATCAGTGTTTATTTTTTAAAAACAGTGTTTTTGTTTTAATGTTTCAGATTTATTTGAGGTTCCTAGATTATCAAATGGAGCACTCAAATGAATGCAAAAGAAACTTCGTTGCAGTCTATGATGGAAGCAGTTCTATTGAAAATCTGAAAGCCAAGTTTTGTAGCACCGTGGCCAATGATGTAATGCTTAAAACAGGAGTTGGAGTAATACGGATGTGGGCAGATGAAGGTAGTCGGCTTAGCAGGTTTAGAATGCTCTTTACGTCCTTTGTAGAACGTAAGTAAATAATTTCCATAACATGGAGATATTTTACTTAATTTTCATTCATTCAGAATACACATACTGAGAATTTATTTTTGCCAAAGATTATGGCCATCACAAAGAGCCCTGGTCTCACTTAAACACTTGGATGCTTATCGAAAGGTCAGCAGTTCCAATCCACCAGCCACTCTGAGGGAGAAAGATGTGGCAGACTGCTTTACAGGCTTCGAAGCCCTATGGGACAGTACTGCTTTATTCTACAGAGTTGTTGCTATGAGTTGACATCTACTTGACAGTAATGGATTTGTTTTTTTGGGGGGTGGGAGGCAGTGTGGTCATCACAGAGGATAAAGAAGCAACTAAGACTTGGTCCCTGCTCTCAAGTAGCTGTTGTCATCAGTGAAAAAAACCATGTTGACACGTAAATTGCAACACTATCTTACTATAAAGGTGTAAAATATTTTCCCTCAAGATTTTCTAAATTAAAAATAATTGTCAGCAGTATTAATTCAATTAGATAAATAATTAGGAATCCACTGGACTGTGGTCATCAAAAATTTAGATAGTCTGACTATGTCCTGTTTTTCTTTTAACTTTATTTTGAAATAATTTTAGACATATAGAAACTTGTAAAAATAGTACAGAGTTCCCATATACCATTCCATTGATGCAATACTATTAACTAATCTATAGACCTTATTTAAATTTAACCTTTTTTTTCCACACATGTCCTTTTCCTGGTCCAGGATCCAATCTGGGGTCCCACATTGCACTTAGGTATATCCTCAGGGTAGATTCCTATAAGTGGGATTTCTAGGTCAAAAAGTAAATGCATGTGTAGTTTACTTAGGTATCACCACATACCTTCCAGAAGGGTTGTGTCTTTTTTAATGAACTGGTTTGTTTTTCTTTATTAAAAAGCATCTTTACTATTTTATGTGCATGTGGGAATTTTTGCATATTAAAGGATATTATAGCTCATATTCCCTGACCCAGCTTAAAAGTGAAGAAACTTTGAGGACAGATTTTAGGATTCTTCCCTTAGATTCCCAGTAATTGGGAGGAACGAACCCCCAGAAGAAAGAATTGGTTCTGCTGCCTTTATTTTGCCTCTTTCCTTAAAGCACAATGACTTGTCAGTACTTCTGAATAATTTGTTTTGTGTATTGTTTATCATAAATACAGGTCATATTACGTTAGCTTTGACAAGAAACTGCTTACAAAATTATTATCATGTGTTTGATGTTTTTTTGAATGGCCTTTACTGTAATCTATATTTGGATAGGGCTGATTAACCTCTCTGACTGGCCCTTTACCCAGATTTATCTCTTGTATATAGAAAATTACTGTCCACACCTAATTGTGTTAATGTTCCCAGCACATATTTCCAAAAATAAGTGGTATATCTTATCTCTTGTTGCAGAAGAAATATTTTAGTTTTCATATCCTGATAGTAGCAGGCTATATGATTTGTACAAATTCAAAGTTTATAAATATAAAAGTGTCAACAATGAAATATCAGGTATTTTTCTTGAGAAATTTGGTATTAATAGTATTTCCTTCACTGATAATTTCAAGATATTATATTATTCCATAGATTATATGTTAAAGTTACGATTATATGAGCACATATAGGCTGTATTATAGCTAAATTCTTCTATTTACAATTTGAAAGCCAGTTCAGCCAACCAGCCTTCCTACTTACCATCCATGCATTTATTTAACATTTATCATGCAAGGTACTATGCTTGATGCTATAAAGATACAAAAATGGATCAAACAGTGTTTGCCCTACAGGACTAAAGGTCCATCCCTTGGGTTAGGTGGCAGATATGCAAATGACACCACTACAGGACTGACTATGATAAAGACCATTTGGGGCATAAAGTGCTGTCTTGTTGAATACCCAACTTACTTCCGGCATATAGCATCCATTATGGAGTGAGTGATCCTTGAGGATAGATATATTTTACAAGATAAAGATGTTAACTGAGTTTCCTATTCCAAACAGAAGCAATAAAATAAACAAAGGCGTAAAACTAGAGCAAATTTGGGCCACAAGTATTTGTTAAGGGAACAGAAAGAAATGAGCCAAGAAAGGTGGATTAAAGCCAGAATATGAAGGACTTTAAGGCTAACTTTAGACTTTAATTTATAGACTATTTTGGTTCCCTAGGGTGCTACAGTGCCTAAGGCATTTGACCGCTAACCCAGAAGGCTGGCGGTTCAAACTCACCAGCCACTCCTCTGAAGGAAGATTGGATAATCTACTTCTGTAGAGCTACTACCTCAGAAACCCAAGGAGGCGTCACTAAGAGTTGGATCTGACTTGAGGGCAGTGAGTTCGTGCAGCTCTAAATATAAAAAATGTGTGGCTTGAACAAACAGGGATTTATTCTCTTACAATTTAGAGGCTAGAAGTCTGAATTCAAAGTGCCAGCTCTAGGGCCTGGGTAGAAGGCCCCTTGACCTAGACTTCAGCTCTGCCTCTTGCTCCCAGCCCACTGAAGCTGGAGGCTTCTTCTAACTTAGGCAGCTGGTGGCTGCTGAGGCTGACAAACACAGGGCCAACAAGGACAATGGCACAGTCCCAAGATTATCGAACAACACGGCAGGCCACCAGTTCACGTTCAGAAACAGTCCCAAGATCAGCAGGCAACCATACATAGCAGGCTACTGAATGGCAACTTGGCTACATGCAGAGATCTTTCTCAAAACTTCTCCTTATATACTGGAAGGAGACCACATCCCTAAGGCAGCTACTCAGCTGCTCCAGTAGATTCCACTATGGAATTGATTATCAGTCTCATCATGGGAAATAACCATATCCAGCTGTGTTAGGCTGGGTTCTCTAGAGAAGCAAAACCAGTAAAGCTTATATATACATATAGAGAAAGAGAAATTTATTTTAGGAAAATGGCTCACACACTTATACAAACTGGCAAGTCCCAAGTTCTTGGATCAAATGTCAAGCTCAAGGCTTTTCCCAACTCACGCAGCTGCAGGGGCTGACAAGCTCAAGGTTGGCAGGCATACCAGCTATTGACTCCAACGAATGATGAATCCAAGATCTCCAGGCTGGATGGTGGATTGTTCACTCATGGAGAGTTGTAGGCAGTGCACCAGGATCCCAATCCACAGAAGAGTGTCTTTTTTCCCAAATGTCCATAAATATGTTGGAAGCAGGCCACAGCCCTAGGGAAACTTCCTTTCAAACAATTGACTTCTCAAAACATATACATAGATTCCATCATGGGAATAACCCACATCACAACTGCTTAAACCACACAGAATTGGGTCTAGCCAAGTTGACACACAGCTCCAACTATCACACCAGCCAAGTGGACATGCAACTTAACTACCACATAGACTTTGGAGAGTTTTGAAGGATTTTGTACTACAAAATGTCTTAATGAGAGCTGTGCTTTAGATGGGGCATAGAGACTATTTTAGGAATCAGCTTCCATAGACAAGATGGGAAACTATAAAGGTTTGACGCGAAGCACTGCCAGTAAAGATAAGAGATAGAATTGATAAGATTATGACTAATCAAGTATGAGGGAGCTCTGGTGGCATAGTGCCTAAGGCATTTGACTACTAAGCAGAAAGCCTACTGGTTCAAACCCATCAGCCACTCCTTGGAAGGAAGATTGGGCAATCTACTTCCGTAGACATGTTGTTGTTATGTGCC